CCCTCGCTGCAACATTCATCACCCCATGCTTCACACCCATAAAAAGCTTTTGGAAAAACTATACTCCAACTTTCCCCCTTTTTTGCCCCCAAGGACAAATTTCTTTGTCTCCACAGACTCCAAATGCACCGCTCACCCTTTTCCCCCCTCATCATTTCTATGTTTCACCTCATTTTTCATAGACCCATCTGCGACACGTCCACTCCCAAATATCCGAATGCATTCACCTCCTCCAACTCTCCCCCCTCCAATCTGATATCCAATCTTTCATCACCTAATCTTTTTGTTATCCTCATAACCTTACTCTTTCCTGTATTCACTTTTAATTTTCTTCTTTTGCACACACACTACCAAATTCCATCCACCAATCTCTGCAACTTCTCTTCAGAATCTCCCAAGAGCACATGGTCATCAGCAAAGAGCAACTGTGAGAACTCCCACTTTGTGTGTGATTCTTATCTTTTAACTCAACGCCTCTTGCCAAGACCCTCGCATTTACTTCTCTACAACCCCATCTATAAATATTTTAAACAACCACGGTGATATCACACATCCTTGTCTAAGGCCTACTTTTACTGGGAAAAAGCTCCCTCTTTCCTACATGCTCTAACTTGAGCCTCACTATCCTCGTAAAAACTCTTCACTGCTTTCATAACCAAACCTCCTACACCATAAAACCTGCAACATCTGCCACATTGCCCCCAAATCCACCCTGTCATACGCCTTTTCCAAATCCAAAAATGCCACAAAGACCTCTTTAGCCTTATCTAAATACTGTTCACTTATATGTTCCACTGTAAACACATATATAAATATATTATATATATATATATAAATAAAATATAAAATATATAAAATATATATATAATATATAAATTATAAAATTTTATATATATTGCCTGGAGTTTACCTGGAGAGAGTTCCGGGGGTCAACCCCCCCCGGGGCCCGCTGTGACCAGGCCTCCGGGTGGATCAAACCTGATCAACCAGGCGTTACTGCTGGCTGCACGCAAACCAACGTACGGCCACAGCCCGGCTGGCAGGCACCGACTTGGTGCTTGTCCAGTGCCAGCTTGAAGACTGCCCAGGGGTCTATTGGTAATCCCCCTTATTTTATTTATTAAATAAAATATATATATATATAATATATATATAAAAAATATAAATATATATATAATATATAATTTTGCTTTGTCCCTTGGAAGGTTACCCTAATGATTGCCAGAGACTTCTATATCACTCCAATATATTTTGTGGAAAAGTTATTATGTCAAGCAAATATGATTCGAGTTTTTTTATTACTGCCCCGTTAATTTTGCTCAGGCTATTACAATATCAATGCTTGTCGGATTTTTTGTAATGCTATAACATTCATCCTTCTGGCCGCGGGTACTGTTGTGCCTGGGGAACCTTCCTGTAACCCCCTCTCTCTCTCTCTCTCTCCTCCCTCCCTCACTCACTCCAAGTGAAGACGGCCCTCAGGGAACGTACTTTCTTGGACATTCTCCACTTTTCTGAAATTTTGCAAGCTCCTGATGTGTTGATTGCAACACGAAAGGCCTAGAGCTTTCATTCTACTCCCCCCGTGGTTATTTTGCATCCTGTATTGCTTGGTTTGCGATATTTGCATAATATATATATATATATATATATATAAAATATATATATATATATATATATATATAATGTATATAATCAATAACACTGCGACTAGCCAAGGAGTCGAACCCATTTTGCTTTGGCTCGCCTCATGATGAGCAAAAACTCATGATGCTCTACTCCACTGAACCACACAATCCTCATGAATGACGCACCCAGCCAATCTATGTGTTGTACCCGTCATCCGAGGGCATACGGTGGTGTGGATGCTTCTGAGCTAATTTCATTCTACTATCTGTTTGGTGTACTAGCCCAACGAACAGTAATTAATATTGTACCCACGAACGGGTACAACACCTAGCTTGGCTAGGTGCATCATTCTTGAGGATTGTGTAGTTCTGCGGACTAGAGTTATCTTAATATCTTTATTATACATCCCATACCCATCCTGTGGGCGGTAGTTAAACAAGAGGTCCTACACAGATGACAGCAAGGAAATGAGTGAGCTACTCAAGTCCCAATATGACTCAGATTTTAGCAAGCCGCTAACCAGACAGAGTCGAAGATCAAAATAATTTTTTTATGAGAGAGCCACAAGCCTATCTGATATTATCCAGACACCAAATGACTTGGAACAGGCGATAAATGACATACCCATGCACTCTGCCCCAGGGCCGGACTCATGGAACTCCGTGTTCATCAAGAACTGCAAGAAGTCCCTATCACGAGCCTTTACCATCCTATGGAGAGGGAGCATGGACACGGGGGTCGTCCCACAGTTACTAAAAACAACAGACATAGCCCCACTGCACAAAGGGGGCAGTAAAGCAATAGCAAAGAACTACAGACCGATAGCGCTAACATCACATATCATAAAAATCTTTGAAAGGGTCCTAAGAAGCAAGATCGCCACCCATCTAGATACCCATCAGTTATACAACCCAGGGCAGCATGGGTTTAGAGCAGGTCGCTCCTGTCTGTCCCAACTACTGGATCACTACGACAAGGTCCTGGATGCACTAGTAGACAAAAAGAATGCAGGTGTAATATACACCGACTTTGCAAAAGCCTTCGACAAGTGTGACCATGGTGTAATAGCACACAAAATGCGTGCCAAAGGAATAACAGGAAAAGTTGGTAGATGGATCCATAATTTCCTCACAAACAGAACATAAAGAGTAGTAGTCAACAGAGTAAAGTCTGAGGCGGCTACGGTGAAAGCTGTTCCGCAAAGCACAGTACTCGCTCCCATCTTGTTCCTCATCCTCATATCTGACATAGACAAGGATGTCAGCCACAGCACCGTGTCTTCCTTTGCAGATGACACCCGAATCTGCATGACAGTATCTTCCATTGCAGACACTGCAAGGCTCCAGGCGGACATCAACCAAATCTTTCAATGGGCTGCAGAAAACAATATGAAGTTTAACGATGAGAAATTTCAATTACTCCGATATGGTAAATGTGAGGAAATTAAAACTTCAGAGTATAAAACAAATTCCAACCACACAATAGAGCGAAAAACTAACGTCAAAGACCTGGGAGTGATCATGTCGGAAGATCTCACCTTCAAGGATGGATAATGAGAACCTTCGAAACTAGGGATTCAAGCCCATGATGACACTCTTCAGGTCGCTTGTTCTATCTAGGCTGGAATATTGCTGCACACTAACAGCACCTTTTAAGGCAGGTGAAATGGTTGACCTAGAAAATGTACCGAGAACCTTCACGGCGAGCATAACTGAGATAAAACACCTCAATTACTGGGAACGCATGAAGTTCCTGAACCTGTACTCTATGGAACGCAGGCGGGAGAGATACATGATTATATACACCTGGAATATCCTAGAGGGACTAGTACACGAAAATCACTCCTTACGAAAGCGAAAGACTCTGCAGACGATGCAACATCCCCCCAATGAAAAGCAGGGGGTGCCACTAGCACGTTAAGAGACAACACACTAAATGTCAGGGGCCCAAGGCTGTTCAACTGCCTCCCAGCATACATAAGGGGGATTACCAATAGAGCCCTTGCTGTCTTCAAGCAGGCACTGGACAAGCACCTAAACTCGGTACCTGGCCAGCCGGGCTGTGGCTCGTACGTTGGATTGCGTGCAGCCAGCAGTAACAGCCTGGTTGATCAGGCCCTGATCCACCATTAGGCCTGGTCACAGACCGGGCCGCGGGGCGTTGACCCCCGGAACTCTCTCCAGGTAAACTCCACGTAAACCATGTATAAACGTAAGTAAATTTACTTACAAGATTCATTACCTTTATGTAACTCGTGACTTCATTACCTTTGTACTTTGTTCAGCTTTCAAAATTTGGGGCCCAGTCCCTGGACCCATTATGTACCTCTGTAATCTTTTGACTACCGCCTACAGGATGGGTATGATGGTGTGCATAATAAAGATGTTAAACTAAAATTAAACTGAATAATAAGCGAATTTTCCCTGTCCTCTTTCCACCTTGTTTCCCTCCATATCTCTGGGTCCGATTTAAGAATATCCTTTGTTGTTTCCCCTTATCGTCTCCCAGACGTCCCAGTGACCTGGTGCGTACGCACGCCTCTTTGCATATATATCTGTTGTACTAAATTATTTTGGTTGACAGTGTACGGGTGAATTGCAGCCTTTATGACCCCCATGCCGTCGAAAAAATACAAACAACTGATGATTTATAATGAAATAAAAAAAAAACTTATCAGAATATATGGAAGAGTGTACGTACCTGCCGTTGTTGCTAGCAGTGGAGTACAGTGAGTAGCAGCGGGCAGGTGGTGGTAGTCAGGCTCGTCTCCACACAGTGACTCTGCTACCTCCACACTCACTCCCTGAATCACACAACATACCAAAAAAAAAAAAGAATTCATCACAATCATACTTAAATATTGTTACAAATCAGAGGAGGATCAATACGGCAGCATACCACCTGAAACACACGTTTCGTTCACTTGATGAGGAAAGAGTACAATGGAAACAAAAACAATCTTTAAAGCTTATATCTGGCATATTTGTAAAAGTGCAAAAGGAGAACTGAAAAATAGAGAATGATTAGGACGTTTAAGTTACGGAACCATAGTACAGACAGAGCTTTAAAGATTTCGAGAGGCGAGAAAAAGCAAAATAACAGATACAAGATGGAAATGAGCTACATGGATGTCAGGATTTTTTTTTTTTTTTAACCTCAGGGTCGTTCAGAAGGGGAATGACCTGAATAAAGAAATGGAGGCAGCCTCCATACAGAGCTTTAAGAATGCATATCAATAGGGCAGAATTGTATGTTTAATAGCAGCAATTTCTCCCATTCGACCAGGATAAAAATGTTGGACGAAATAAGGACATACCTGCTTTTGGAGCATGGCGGAGAATGTAGCTCTGGCAGAGCCGTCTGAGAGGACTCTCACCACGGCTTCGTGACCCTCGTTCACCGAGGCAGTTACACCACTCATAGCTAGCAGCTCTCCCCCTGCCACAGGTAAGATTTAGGGACAGGTACACATAAGTACAGTTACACAAATTTTGGTGATTATAATTATCCTATATAGTAACATGTGTAAATTACCTAGGATAATCCAAAAGAGTCAGACGAAGCGACATTTCCATTGGGATCCTTGCAATATCTTATTATTTAAAGCCTAAAGACAGTAGAAAAGTCGTGATTATAACACTTGTCAAATTTACTGTTATACACACCCCAGCCACCATCTTTATCCACTCCAAACACAGAACTCACAGGCATAACACAAGACCTATGTAAAAGCTCAATGAGCATAAAGACCCTAAAATCTGGAATCTCTTGCGTGAAATCTCTAAAGGTCCTCTATCCGGCAATCGCTTCAGCGCTATTGTTAAAATGCATTACATCTCCTTAATGTAATCTCGACAGCAATAGTCTTGTCAAACAATACCTGTCCACATCCAACTATGTCCCTGTTCATCTTCCAGCCTTCTTTCAACCCCTATATAATGCCATTAGATTTGTATTGTAATTTAGGTAACTTATTATATTTTCACCATCTCTATTCCCTCACGACATCAAATTGAAGATCATCTAGCCAGTTTAAATAACAGAATTCTTTTTCAATTGACCATTATGGAGTTAGTCTCGTTTTTAAGTAGTGTGTAAAAGCCTTATGATTAGTTGCCCGAAATCCATTGCACCACCATCTTTACTCACCTCCCCAATATCTTTATTCACCCCAATCACTATCATTGCGTACCACAACAACCACCATCTTTACCCATTCCAGCCATTATGTTTACCTACCCTCACCCAGCCACACTACACACGAGACTAACAGAACAACTGAATTTATTAAAATGGGAGATAATAAGGGATATAGCAGCTGATTCTTTTAAACAAAATATTTGACATGAGACACTGAATACGAGACACCACAGAATAGCTCTGCTCTAAAAACCTTTAAAGAGAGGTAGGTAACCTAATTTTGGTGAAGGGTTCTTTATCCAATGAACCATAGCTACCCTCCCCTTAAAATGATCAAAACCGATGACCGCTCCTCTGATGCCAATTAATATTACCACCATCACCAAATAAAAAATTGTAGCAAAGTGAGACTTACCGAGGTGAGTGACCAGTTGGTGGAGGTCTGGAGGTCCCCGGCCTCGCAGACAGTCAAGTGCCTCGCGGACCTCAAGGGCATTACCTATGGTAGTGCCGATGGGCACGTCCATGGCGGTAAGGAGGGCACATACCTTCATGCCCAGACCCTTGGTCACATTGACAAGCGCCTGGGCCAGCTGCTCCCCCTCCTCCCTGGTCTTTGAAAAGGCTCCTCGCCCGTACTTCACGTCCATCACAAGTGCTTTCACAGACTCCGCCGCCTTCTTGCTCACGATGGATGCTGGTGTGGGAAGACAAGTTGTAAGTTATTGTATTTACGGGGAAACGATATACCTTGTGATAATGAATATTCTCGCCTTGCAAGGCAGAATTTATCTAAATAACCCTCTCTCTTTGATAAGTACAATACATCACCCAGAACAAATGCAGCGGTCGTGACAGTGAAAATGCATCATTGCTGGACAATGAAAGAAAAATAGCCACATAACTTACAGACGATGAGTGGCAGGGAGAAGACAGTGGAGGTAACGCCCCTAGTAGCGTACATACGACGGTCAGCCGGCACGATGTCTGTCGTCTGACCCATGATACAGCAGCCCACATCAGCCAGTGCTGCATGCACCTCTTCCTCGGTCAGGCTCACTCTGAATCCTGCATGAACACAGAGGAAGGAAAGCTAGGGTGTGTGTGGAAGACTATGAAACATCTCTACACAGTTTACATACTGACAGTAAGTGAACAAGCTGTATTTACGAAATTACGACTCGACACACTAGTACTGTTTCTAATACCATCATGATGATAATGGTCAGACCTGAGTTTATGTATTTAATGTCACTTTAGTTGTGACCGATTCTTTATAATCCATGAGTGGTCTTAATTCCTTGAGTATCAACTGTGGCACGCTTCTGTCAAGCCAGACAAAGGTATGGTAGGACTGTAGAGTTGAGTCATGGTAAACCTGTGGGTTCCATCACACATTGGTCTTCAGATGCATGACAGAAACGATGAACTGGCAAAGGCATATGCCTTCACGGAAGAATTCTGGGCTGAGAGGTAGCAGTCTGAGAATTAAAATATGTACAAAAAGAGCTTCAACTGAGCTTCAATGATTGATCTGAGACTGAGGGAGACTGAAACCGGTCAGTCCACTTATTCTATTCAAATTCAAATTCAAAGTTTATTCTCTATAAAGATTACAATGTTAAATTTACAGAATTTGGTTGTTGTGTGGTTTACATGTAGTTAAATAATGATTAGAGTGTACCACTAGAACGCCTAGCATGGCTAGGCATTTCGGGCAGACTTAGTTTAATTCTTTATTTTAAAATATTACAAATTATGAGGTAAGTTGGTATTATGGCTATCATGCAGGAGAAGCCACATATCTACGGTGCATCCAACAAAATAAGCAAGTCTTCGATATCACTACCGCCAGGCTCCGGCTGGATTACCAGTCTCTCAAGAAGGTTGCATCAGCATCACCAGTTAATATAACGATAAGTAAACTTTGCCAGATGAACTACTGTCACACCTTGCGTCATTATGTGGTGGAATGCGATGAAATTAATGAATTCACAGACAACTCACAAATGTCCAAGAAACGTCAAAGTTTTCTATCCACAGTGGCATATTACCAACCATTCCGGAAAAATATGTTGACTTTGCCTATTGTAAATAGCATACAATCACGTAAACGTGTTTAAATTCAGCCATAACTTGCTAAAATATAAGGTAATACAAATAATTCAAAATCACATATAAACTACAACGTAATAATTTTATGGTTTAATGTATTTTACTTTTTTTTTTATATCTGTTATTGTTAAATGTTCTCATTTACAGTTCATAAATATGTGTTGTTTACCATCTTATAATCACAGCACTGCTAAAACTCATATACTCTTTAATTTAGAACTGTGCATATATTATTTTACTATCTATTGTAAACAACTTATGTTTGCTTTAGTGCAGTTACAAGTCATAGTCTGGTGCTACATTATGTTCAAGTTTTATCTTAATGGCTTATACTTAGTTAATACTCTAGTTCATTCTAGCTTAATTCATAGTCAACACTATGTTTATTATGTTTATTAGTGTTTACACTGTACCTGACCAACCTGCAGTAGCTCTACACCAGTCCAAACATCCCTTTATTACAGTTATCAGTACTGCAACTCAACACTCTATACATGATACAATAAATTACCATTTAACTTAAATGATGAATGATCACGTCGACCCAGATTAAATCTATATAATCTAACACCTAATCAAAATTTAATAGAAAGTAACTGCCTCTATTATACAGCATCACAAGCCAGCACTCTCCTAAATACTGCTAAAAATATTACAGTTCTTAATTACAATATCAGGTCCTTAAGCAAACACTATGATGACCTCCTGGCACTCCTTGATTCCCTAAATACAACCTTCTCCTGTATTATTCTCACTGAGACCTGGCCTTAAGCAGGATACAATATCTACACACTACCAGGATACACAGCAATCCACAACTGCAGACAACACCAAGCTGGGGGTGGTATTGCAATCTACTATTCTAATGAAGTATCTTGTTATAACACCACTTGCTATAGTGATGAATACGGAGAATATATTTTTGCAAATTTTACTGTAAAAAACCTTAAGACTTCTATAACAATCGGTGCCATTTACCGGATGCCTCGTAAAAACATCCTAAATTTTAGTGATAAATTAAATCATGAGGGTAGTCCTAAATCACCGACTGGATACGTCCAAAATAAGTGATCCACTAATCCGAATTCGCCCGGATTCATTCAAGAAAAAAGTGAACCAATGACCGGATTCAAACGGATTCGTTGAAAACAAGATATCCTTGATGAATTCTTAAGCTGACGAGGTTTAATGCACCCTTATCAAACAGGCCCAAACTAACTACAAGAAATAGATACAATCCAAACAGACATATCTACTTTAAGGTGGTTGTAAAAAAAATATTCTGTTTTTTTTTTATTCGCTGGTATTCTCCCGGCCCGGGTCTTCAGTGATCCACTAACTGGATTCGTCCAGATTCGTCCAAGAAATAAGTAAACAAAGGACCGGATTCAAACGGATTCCTTGGAATAAATAAAGTAGATGCAATACAAATAGACAGACCTCCACTTGAAGGAAGCTATTAGTAGAATATACAGTAAAACAACCAATAAAATCACATTATGAAATCCTGTGTAGTCTGCAACCAAACAAACAAATGGGCTTCTGCATGGATCACATGCAATTTCTGTGGTAAACGGAGCCATGCCCTTTGTGCAGGTATTCAGGTATAATCTACGAGTGTTTTTGGGTATGCCCAAATGAAACAACTGTGGAATAAAATCACACTGATAATAAAAGACAGTTAGGCCTGAGTGGTTGAGGGGAGAGGACGTGTGTGTTGAGTGAAGTCCTAGGCCTTCTATATCAGAACTGCTTATCTCACCCTACTGATAACTCATCATGCAACAAATATCGTTGGAGCGCAGCTGAATTGCTGCTGGAACTCTTATGTGTGAACTGTGACTAGTGATATACCTAGTGAAACACAAACATCTTGATTTGAAGTGGCTGTAGGAGGCTACACCTTCACTCCACCTCGCCTATCTCCCCTCCTTCCTCGATTTGGAACTCAGCCATTCGCCTCTATTTACTTATGGTCTAGAGGCGGTTTTTGCCAGACCACATAAATGCTTGAGTGCCCGTGTCAGTCCTCTGTGCCGCACTCCACTCATCTTAAGAATGAAGTGTTTAGTGCTGCAGATTTGTTGTAAGTTTGTGCCAGAAGTGAGGGG